CTTGAAGCGCGTAAATTCCGTCCGTTCCTGCTCACTGCTGTCTGCAAGCATTTGCTAACCCACGTACGCCAGCGAATAGCTCACACACACACACACACACACACATCACATATCTAGCCGTCCCCAACTCCGTGGCCAAGCTCGCATCGCGAAGGAAATGCTGCAGATTGTGACTTATTTTTTTCACGAGCTGGACCGTGCCCTTCCGTAGACTAGTCTCGAACATCTGCTCGACGCGAGCCCGCTCCAGGCCAGACAGCGCGCGCACCGGGGACGCGGTCGTTACGCTACGTCCCAATATTGCAAACATGGCTTTGTCGAGCCATGATCCGACATCCTCCATCGTCCACTGTCCTGAACATGATATGGCGCTGTTCGCGCAGAAAAAAACCTCGCTGCCACACTCGCCAAGAGAGCCCGTCGCACGGCCAGAACACTTCAGTAGAATGTGCCGCAGTCGTTCTCCGAGATGGCGCTGTCATCCTCGCTGATATGCTTAGGTCAGGCATGTCCCCCTTCAGGCGGCTTTTGAAAGACAAGTAAAATCGTCAAAAACACTGCAAAATAGCTTGTAGTCAAAAAATCGTCCCCCGACTATTTTTACTATTTTTGAATGTTCGCCCTGTCGAGGGACTTAATGATATGGTCTGCATGCCTTTCCTCATCCACGCAGAGTCACCGCCAGCACTCCTGGGTCGTCGTAGCCGTTTCGTCTCGCAACTCGCGATGCAGACCAGAGGGGTCGCTGAAGATGCCCTGGGAGGTCGTCTTCCACGAGACAAACACCACGCGGAACCGCATCGCATCCAAACTCGAAGAGCCACAATCGGCAGACAATCCAGAATGGGCCATAGGCGAAACATGTTCCGAGGCCGTCGCCCTGACCATGGATGGCGACTTGACATCCAAGCCAGCCAAACCAGCCCCCTCATTAGACTTTGACTCTTCGTTGCTGAAGTAACTGTCGAGAACAGAATTCAAGTAGCCGCCACACAGTAAATAGGACCCAAGACTGCACTGGCCAAGACCCTACGAATTGCGTGTAAAACAGCCTGGCGTCGATAGTTCCCAGACTGTCCAGCGCTGTCTCCTCCACTGCACAATGCGCCCTATCGTTCGATGCCGTGGTCGCCATGCGCGTTGCCAACAACTGCATGACCGCCGTCGCTTTTGTGGGGCCACGGGCCGCGCGAGCGCTGGTCAAGGCGCACCGCGGCTGACCTCAGCTTCGGCAGGCACTGTCGGCGGCGCCATGCAGGCTGGGACGGCGCGTCGCGCTGGCAGGTCGCGCCGCCCGCCTGTCGCGCTCCGCGCAGGCGGCTGGGAGAAGGCGAGCGAAGCACGCCGCCGCCCGCTGGTCGCGGCGTCGCGCTGCGGGCGGGTTCGCCAGCGGCGCGGTGGCCCGCGCCCGCGCGGCTTCTTGTCGCTTTCCCCTTTCTCTTTCCGCTCCCTTTGTGTGCTCTGCTCTCTCCTTTCCCTCTTCCCTCTCCCTGTCCGTTCCCTCTCTCTCCCTATTTCGATCTATCCCTTGCCCTCCTCCATCCCGGTTCTCCCTTGCCTCGTTCTCGCGACGGCTCGTCGCCCGCTGCGTCGCCCCCCCCCGCCCCCGCCTGTTTCGCATGCCTCCCCCCCCCCCCACCTCGAGGGCACGCCGCGCAAACATGGATGAGCGATCCAAGGATTTGGCGCGCGGTCGCCAAGTCCATGGATCGGGGGAGGTGCCTTCCCCAAAGTGCGGCCAGCGCCGCCGCGTCCGGCGGCGGAAATCCGCGATTCCCAGTGGAAACGGGACCCGCCGCTAATCCACGCCCCCCTGATCCACGTCGGCGATCGCCTGACCCGCCCCCCCGCGGTGCGCGCCCGCACGCTCTGGCTGCAGCGCGCGGCTCTCCCGCGCGAGGGGATGCCGCCGCGTTCTGCACCCGCCCTCCCGGTCGCTGGGGCCATTCGACTCGCTCGACCTGGCTATGTTGACCCTTCCCTCGAGCTCTCCCTCCTCCTCCTCCTCCTCCTCCTCCTCCTCCTCCTCCTCCTCCTCCTCCTCCTCCTCCTCCCCCTCCTCCTCCTCACCGCCTGAGCGGGGGGGGGCGCCTGTGCCGTCGCCGTTGGTGAAGTCGCCACCCTGGATCATGAAATTCTGGGCAGCAGGAGGGTGAGACGAAGCCAAGACGAGGATATAGAATCGGGTGAGAATAAATCGAGAGGAGGAGTAGGATCAGGAGGAGGAGAAGGAGGAGGAGGATAAGGAGAATCTCTGAGATCTGGCGCTGTGGAGAATGTCTCCAGCGCCTCGGCCTTCTCAGAGCGCCCTGGAACGCTCTGCGAGCGTTCCAGAAAGCTCTGGAACGGATCTACCCTCGTCCCAGCCCCGCCCCAGAGGGGCCTCTTCCCTCCTCCCTGGACGAAGCGCTCGCGCAAGAAGCTGCCTGCCAGTTTCGGCTCCTGGAGGTCGTCCCTGAGCCTCAGGAAAAACAAACAATGCTCGGCGATCAAAAACGGCCCCGAAGAGTGCGTAGACTGACTTCAGTGCCGACACCAAAACAACAACATAACGTCGGTGCTTCTCCTCCGCCTCCTCCTCCCCCTTCATCCTCCTCCTCCTTCTCCTCCTCCTCATCCTCCTCCTTCATCCTCATCCTCATCCTCATCCTCATGATCATCCTCCACTCCTTGTCCTTAGAAACAACTCCTCCATATCGCATCCCGAGGCGTGTCGGTAGAGGGGGCCCGGCGTTCGTCCTAAGACTTCCTCACCATGCATGATCCTGACGCTTGAAATTTGCAACAACTTCGCGGATGGAGTGCGGGCCGTTTTTTGAAAATGACTCCCGCCTTAGCGCTGCACACATTCGTCCCAAAAACTGCAAGATCTTCAAGGTTGGAGGGCGGTCCGCTTTCAAAATTTTGCTCTCGCCTGAGGGCCGCGCACATTCGTCTTCAGAGTTAACAACAGCCGAACGACGCCCCTGCTGCACGCTGGTCGATGGGACGAGCTGGGGCGCACGTCGGCCAGGGAGGCGGTCTGAGACAGGGCTGGGGCAGAGGTGCTATGGAGTAAGGCTGGGGCAGGGGACGAGCTGACGCGCCTTGCATCTGCTGCGTGGAGGCATTGCGAGCCAGAGTGTTTCAGCCCATCTCCTCCCCCTTCTCTGCGTAATTCAAGCTCTGCGCGGCCCGCTTAGCTTCGACCGAAGAGGTGCGCTCTCGACCCGCGAATCAAAAAGTGTTTCAGCCCATCTGGCAAGGGTCAATGGGGGGTCTTGCTCAGCGTCGATCTCGCACTCGGCGGCTGCAAACTGTAGATATGGGGAGCATCGCTCTTGAGACGTGGCTCCCCGATGTCGCCACCTCCGCACGCATCCGTCTCGCAAGGCGGCGGCTCAAAGTTTACTGTTGCGGCCGCCACTCTAGTTTGCGAGGGGGGCAGCGGCAGCCGGCGGCAGCCGCTCTCGCGAGAGCTGTGAGCTGCCGGGGTGCTCGACCGCGGCGCGCGTGGGCTCGGCGGGAGGATTGCGCGCGTCGGGAGGGATAGATTCTGCACGGCCTCCCCCGTGGCCGTAGGCGACCCGAGGAGGAGGAGGAGGAGGAGGAGGAGGAGGAGGAGGAGGGAGGAGGGAGGAGGAGGAGGGAGGAGGAGGAGGAGGAGGAGGAGGAGGTAGAGGAGGAGGAGGTGGAGGAGGAGGTGGAGGAGGAGGAGGAGGAGGGGTCGCCTAAGCCCTTCGGAGAAACCCTCTGGTAGATTTGGCGGCTGCGGCGGAAGAGTTACGCAGCAAATTCTGGTCCACAGTGTTCAGGGGATTGCGTTCGACGGTGCCATTCTCTCGGGAGCCCACAAAGGACGTACGCGACCAACTATGTACATGAGCACGGCCTCTCGATCCGCGACACTGGCCGCGTGATACGAACATTCGGGCAATGCGTACTCCCGAACCCAGCGTGGATTCATGTGCGTGTACGTCCTCATTTCGCTCCTGATTCTCATCGTCCCACGTGCAGGCCTGCTGGTCGGAGCAGGTGCCTTCGACGAGGTGCTCGGCGTTCGGTGCAGCCACGCCCCTGGAGAAGCACGACGCGCTGCTGGCCATGGGAGACCGCGCACTTGTCCATGGTCAAGGCCCAGGCAAGAAGAATGCTCTGGCCCTGGCCCTTGTTGGTGGTCATCGCTCAAGCGAGGCGTACTGGGCATTGGTGATGTCGCGGCGTGAACGGGTGGTCGGTCCCTGGAGCCAGCCGAATCGTAGCAGATCGGGGCGATGAATTGAGAGGACCCGCGGAATGGTCCAGTGACATCACGGACGAAGAGGAAATAGCAGCACATACCTATACGGCAACCCTTCGGGTGGTAAGGAGGTTGGGGCGGGAAAGGGAAACCCACCGCCAACAACTGCCATGACTGTGATGGCGATGAGATGGCGCCATCGATCTCACGAATTTCACCATCGATCTCACACCATCGATCTCCACTGTCGCTCTCGATATCGATCGCACGATCGATCCATAAAAGATCTCACGATCGACCCCACGAGAGATCTCTCGAGAGACACCATCGGGAAACACCACGGCGGGGCATCCCCGGCCACGGCGGGACACACCGCCAGGCCAAGAGCTGCCGTGAGCGATCTCACCATCGTTCTCACTATCGCTCTCACTATCGACCTCTCGCTCTCACGGCCGACCTCACGAGCACGATCGATCACGCAATCGATCTCACTATCGATCTCACCATCTATTTCACAAGTGATCTCACGAACTACCATCGAGACACCATGGCGGGACACCCGATACCACCGTCGGGACACCCCGCGCCACCGACGGGGCACCCCGCGCCACCGACGGTGCACCCCCGCGACACCGACGGGGCAACCCGGGATCGATCTCACGATCACGATTGATCACGCAGTCGATCTCACTATCGATCTCACAACTGATCTGACGAACTACCATCGAGACACCACGGTTGGACACCCGGAGCCACCGTCGAGACACCTCGCGCCACCGAC